ATGCTTTACATACATTGTCTCAGTTGATCATCAGAGCTTTTTAAAGTGAATATTATCACCACCAATATTTTTTGGATGATGAAACTGACGTAAGTGATCAAGTCGGAGAGTATGATCTCACAGCCTGAAATGTTAAGGATGATGTCGCACCGCCTCAGGAGGGCCCAAGGGCAGTGGCACACAAAGGGCACCACTCGACAGCTTCTAGGAGCGGTGCTCTGGCCCCGAGGAAAGCCACAGCAAGGGAAGACAGAAACGTGTCACAACAAGATGTTCAGCACCCAAACACAATAAAGGAACAGTATCTATCCTATCTTCGGAATGTGTCTGCCTCTCCAATCTGGGTATAGTGCCTTTTCAAAATTGCTAGTGTATTGACGATAGTGAAGTGTGCCTGTCACCTAAATGACAAACTTATATGACATTAAATCTCAATGAAAACTGTTAAAATATGTAACAGTAGACTGTGAGCTGCATGGAGGTGAACAGAGGCTCATTCTGCCCAGATGACACTACAAAAATATGCTGGAGGATGGGTGATGGAGATGATCTTATTTGGTTTTGAAATCCATGAGCAGGTGATCACAGTACGAGAACAACACAACTATGGGGTTTCTGCATACAGAGATACAAACAAGGCAGAACACTGAAAGCTGATGCTCCAGGGAAAGGGCTTCTATCCTGGAGAGGTAACACGCTACTGGGGGATGCTTCGAAGGGGCTACTAAAGGTCTTCTATCAGACCAAAGCTAAATGGCACAAGTTGACAGTGATGATGTACCCATTTACCTATGCAACCCCCCTGTAAGGTGCTGTCCTCACACCACACTGAACTCAGGTAACCAGACACAAATGTATCCGCAGAACTATCAAAAGAAGAATACTGCCAGAATACTCTCAGAGAAGTAGCAAAAAATCTAGAAAGGCCAGGGTCTATCTACAAGACTCTTAAAGAAATGAACCCCTCTTAAGCATGCAAGAGAGAGCAAGTATCTACACCTAAAGCATCAGAAACAAGTCATGGGTATCCTGCTGGGACAGACTGTCCACATTCTGGAGGCAGTCTGTTTCCCGGCCCGGGAAGACCGACTGATTCCATGTTCACATGAGATCTCAAGACTATGGCCCCTGACCCAACAGTAATGTGGGGATCACCTGCAGCCCTGTTGGAAAGGGAAGCTCTCTGTCCAACCCTAGACCTCCTAAATCAGAAACTCTGGGGTGGGGCATTCTGTGTTTCTAGAAAAATCTGACACACACTCAAAGAACTACTGATCCAGGCCAACCCCTGCCTTACATTGGTACAGAAAATTCACACAGGACAGATGAGAAAACCATTTTCCTTGCTACCAATTCCAAATTCAGTGTCAATCTAAACATAAGAAGTGAATTCCAAAAGACACTACTGAGAAGTTTTCAGATGTGCAAATGGACTTAATTCTCATTTCCTGTACAGAAACAGCATGAAGCTTATTATTAGCAGCAAATAAATGCAACATTCCAATGAAAATACAAAATGCAACATATTTTTATACTCATGGTTCACTTGAGGATCATACTGCTCCAGGAGAACTATCTGGTCATCAATTTTTATCATGGGCTCGGAAACTCAAAGGATGCATAATTATAATGACCTTCCTAAGATAAGATATTCATATATTTAAATGAGGTACGTTTTATATGCAATAATTTCAAAAATATATATTCTTTTAATGACAGCTCCTAAAGCTGGCAAGAACGTGAAATAGGTACATCACACCCTCGGGTGAGTGAGATATTGTAAATTAGTACAACTTTTATGAAAAGCAATTTGGCATATGTATCAAGCCATAAAAACCTCCATACTCTGACCTATTAGGTCTACTTGTTTTCGGATTAAGAATTAATTCCCCGGGGCGCCTGGGTGGCGCAGTCGGTTAAGCGTCCGACTTCAGCCAGGTCACGATCTCGCGGTCCGTGAGTTCGAGCCCCGCGTCGGGCTCTGGGCTGATGGCTCGGAGCCTGGAGCCTGTTTCCAATTCTGTGTCTCCCTCTCTCTCTGCCCCTCCCCCATTCATGCTCTGTCTCTCTCTGTCCCAAAAATAAATAAAAAACGTTGAAAAGAATTAATTCCCCAAGTGAAAAAGTTGTATGAACTAGTATGCCCCAGGTGGAGGAGACGGGATGTCTAAAATATAAAAGTGGCCACTAAAATACCACGTGACCACTTAAAACCAGACTAACGTTAAAGGCACACTCAAATGAAAAAAGATGATACAGAACTGTATATATACTATGATTACAATGGAGTCAGAAACATACACGTGGGTGCACAGAGAAGTGGAAAGGCATATAGATGTTCGAACTAAGGGCAGATTTTCTCTCATTTTTCTGTTTTGGTGTAGTAATAACTAAAATATTAATAATAAACCTGAAAGTGTTCAATCCCACATGCAAACCTACTCTGAGTTCAGATAAGGTGATTTCCATGTGTGCATGAGTGCGTGCACATGTGAACACTCATGGGAAAAGGGGGACTAAAAAGAGACGGGAAAATATCAAATTAGTCACTGCCAAGGGACACTGACTTAAAATGAGACACAACATACCCTTACCTCCTCCAAAAACTCAAACCACAACACAGAAGAGAAGCTCGACTCACCAGAATTTTAGGAACTTGAGAACCACCTAAATGATGACGTAAGAGGAAATCAATCAAAAAACCCACCAAAATAGTCTTTCTCTCCTCATGATTTTTTTCCCCAAAATAATGTTAAACAGATGATGCAAACTACCATTTGTTGAGCTAAATTTTAAACTGATGATTCTAATTTCAAATGGACTCCTATTAAGCTTCTAAGAGCCACTTGGGTTTATGCCTGTGACAGAGGGAACACGTTTGCAACAAGAATTCTTACAAAGCCCAAACCCCACGTCTCTGCCAAGTTTGGCTTTCGTCATGCAGGCTTGCTTGGTGCTGCTCCAGCACACCCACCGCCGGACTGCCACCGTCCCAGCCTTGGCATATTCGTTTCCGCTTAATTTGGGGCAGGTTCCCTGTTGCATGGTTCATTATGATGCCAATCCGTCTCTAAGTTGTTTGATAAAATAAACTAATTACAATTAGATTTTCAGTTCCAAGATGCTCAAAGATTATTGGTGAGGGGGTAGGCAAATGAAGCCGATGTGCAATTCCAGACAAAGTTCAGAACTTCATAAATCAGCAAAACAATCTCCCTGTTGCAGATAATTCTCAAGGCACTTGAATGGCACAAAATGCAAGTCAGTAAGCTCCCAATGATTGAGAAACAATTACCAAGAAAATGTTCGTGGCTCCATCAGAACAAAGAAAAGAAAAAGAAAACTAAAAGAACTGTCCAGTTACGATGCGTGTATGTTTATGTTTAATCTGAAACAATTGCTTTTAACAAATTCCCTAAGGGTATCAAAGCCAGACAGCCTTTGCTGTTAGAGAAAAAAAAGAAAGGGGCGCCTGGGTGGCGCAGTCGGTTAAGCGTCCGACTTCAGCCAGGTCACGATCTCGCGGTCCGTGGGTTCGAGCCCCGCGTCGGGCTCTGGGCTGATGGCTCAGAGCCTGGAGCCTGTTTCCGACTCTGTGTCTCCCTCTCTCTCTGCCCCTCCCCCGTTCATGCTCTGTCTCTCTCTGTCCCAAAAATAAATAAACGTTGGAAAAAAAAAAATTTAAAAAAA